CTTCCCTTTATTATGAGAAAGAGTTTTATTCTGACTGAAGTGAACAATATGAAGAGACACTACAGAGCTCTGGCGGAGGATGAAAAGTTTCTTCTATCCGCAGAGCCGCACTTCAAAGTGTCCTATGAAAAGGTTCCACTTTAATTAGGGGGAGGAAATTGCCATGTAACTTAATTAATATCAAAAACATTTATTTTTTCTTAAACGCAAGGAAGAAAGATGGCTACAGAGAGAGGCAGGAAGGGACCGATGGTGCGTCTGGACTGGCCTGCGTGTGGACGGCATGACGATCAACTTTGTTGCTAATTACTCCAGAGGCGTCTTCGATTCAGTGAAGAACTCTAAAGCCACAGTGGGTCCTTTGCCACAGCAGAGGTCTTTGTCCTCCGTGTCCAGCCCTCCAGCCTCTGCGCACAGTAACATGAAGACCTGAGATGGTTCTCTGGACATTTCAGAAGAAAAACAAAGAGATCCTGTTTCATTTCAATTACCTAGGAAATATTTACAATAAGTGGCTTGGGAGAGTAGGATCGCGTCTCCTGTATATACTCCTTAGTGCCTTTTAGGGACAGCCCCCTCCTCCGGGATTCTTTATCCATGTCACCAGGCCCACTTCTTTCCACCCAGCTCTCTGGGCAGACCCCTGGGCCTTTGCCTGGTGTTTCCCTCTTTCTCCACGATCAATCCCCACACTCACTCTACCTTCTAAATGTCCCTCAAGTCTGTCCTCTTCTCTCCTGCCACCTGCGATTACCCCTAAACAACTTGCATATACGCTCCTAATTGGTCTTCTACTTTTCCCTCTTGCCCACTGGACTCCATTCTTTTTTTTTTTTTGGAGGGGTTTTTGCTATAGGGCGCGTGCACTCGCCAGACAGAGAGAGACAGAGATACAGAAAACAAGAAATCACCCCCCAGCAGGGATGGCCACACTGCAATTCCTTCTCCTCCATTCTCCTCTTGGGATCTTGGGCATGCACGCACACACGCCTGGCATGAGTTTTAAGCCACCGGGTCCGGGGTGCAAACCGTGATCAACCACGTGGGAGTCTAGCGACATAGCCATTACGCTAACTGCTGGTCCCCTGGACTCCATTCTTTAGCCAACACCAGCACCATCTTTTATAAGACATAAAACTGTACCATTTCTTTGATGGCTTCCCATCATTTGGGGAAAACAAATAAACAAAAACAAAAAAAATAAACAACTCAAGATTCCTCAACAAGGACTATCTAGACCTTGTATGATTTTTTTCTCTAACTCTCTCATCTTTGTTCTCCTCCCCCCTTTTCTTTTTAGATATTTTGCCATAGTGTGCACATATTTGCTGGAGAGAGACAGAGAAACAGGGAGAGAAAAAGTGAGAAATCACTCCCCAAAGGGGACAGCCATGCCCCAATCCCTCCTCTCGGGATTTTGGGCATGCACACACACACACACACACACACACACACACACACACCATGATTTGTAAGCAGCCATGCTCAAGTTGGGCAGGTGGGAATCCAGTACATTAACTATCATGCCTCCTGTTGGCCCCTCACCCTTGCTGCTGACACTAGCCAGAGTCCCAAGGTCTTTGGCATGGCATTCCTTCTGTTGAGTATGCTCTTCTCTACCTCCTCCACTCACTGGGTCTTGGCCTAACTCACTCCCATTCATTTTTTGAGTCTCAAGTATTATTTACAGAACCCTGAGACCACTCCCCACATGGAGGTTAAACTCCCAGGTCACACGCTCACATGGAGTAGTACACTTCTTTGAAACACACATCAGAATTGCAACCAACTAATTGTTTGGCCAAATACCAGTTTGGTCTTTCTCTGTCCCCTGGGCTGGAAGCCAGGTGGAGACAGAGATCATGCGTGTCTTGCCACAGCTGTGTGCCCAGCTGCCTGCATGGAATCATGGGGAACATTGTTCTAATCCCCATCTGGTCATTTCAACCTCATAACAAACCAATGAGGTGCAACATTTTACTAAATCCATTTTACAGGGGTAGACCGAAGCATAGAGTTGTCAAAGTCACAGGGATGGTAGATAGGGAGCCAGCAAGCTCCTGAGTCCTGCCCCTTGTCACTGTGCTACGCTCCCACAGGAGGAACACCATACACGTGGGTTGAAGGAGATAGTCAGGAATAATGGGCCCAGTGATCACCGGAGATAAGTGATCAAGGACATCAGGCATGGTCCTATGGACCCAGCCTACCAATCCGTGGACGTGTTCCTTCCTATTCAGCAGTCTTTTTCAGCATTCTGGGAGAGACCCAAGCCTCATGAGTCTACGTAGAAATGTCTCCCTGTGGAAGAAGCATGACCTGAGAATGGGCCCTGGGAAAGTTAAGATAGGAGTGAATCTCAGCAACTCTTCCCTTCCTGTTCTTTGCTCCTAAGTCGGCTTCTAGCTCACCCTACTCTCTTCCAAATGAGGAAATGTACTAGATTCCAAGAGTAAGGCACAGTCCCCAAACTGTGCCATGGGGTACCCTGGACCACCATAGTGAACTCACATGGTTCTGCAGGATATTCCAGTTCTGGGAGGGGAACATGAATATTCAATCTCTGCTAGATATTATGCAAATTACTAGCTCAGGGTAGTTTACCGTGTCAACATTAAATCTCGTATTTTTCCTTCCAATTAGATCATAGCTTTTTGAAGGTAGATTTTTCATGGTTGCTGTGATAAGAAGCAAGCACTGTGTGCAAATCAATGTGAAATAGGAAAGTGAAGGAGGTGGTGTGAAGGTAGAGGTTGTTCAGTAGCCAGTAGTTACACACAGCCCACTCATAAGTAATTACAGTTATTATTATTTTTCAATTTGTCAGAGGCATGTGTGCTCACAGAGAGAGATAGAGAGAGGAGAAGTGAGAAAGTACCCCCCATGGGGGATGGTCACACCACAGTCCCTTCTCCTCCATTTCTCCCTCCTTTCAGAATTTTGGACATGTCCACACACGCACCTGGTGTGTTTTTTTCAAGCCACCAGGTCCAGGACTCAAACTGTACAGTTGGGCATATGAGATCCAGCTGCCTCAACCACCATCCCACCCACTGCTCCACAATTATTTAAGAATGAAACAAATACGCTCCTTTTTTTTTAAGTGTATATTTTTTCAAATGGCTACTAAGCTGTTAGGATATTAATACTTATAAAATTGTTTGACTCTAACTATTTTTTTTTTTGAGAGATTTTCACTGTAGGGCACGTGCGCTCACCAGACAGACAGAGAGAGACAGAGAGACAGAAAGCGAGAAATCACCCCCCAGGGGGGATGGTCACGCTGCAATCCCTTCTCCTCCATTCTCCTCTCAGGATCTTGGGCACGCACGCATACGCGCCTGGCGTGAGTTTTTTAAGTCACCGGGTCCGGGACACGAACCGCGGTCGACTACGTGGGAGTCCAGCGACATAGCCATTACGCTAACTGCTGGTTCCCACTCTAACTATTTTTTAAGAGTTTTTTGGTTTGGTTTGGTTTGGTTTGGTTTGGTTTGGTTTTTGTCTTAGGCCGTGTGCAAGCATGTGCGCTCTCTACAGAGAGAGAAAGAGACTGAGACAGTGAGAGGGAAAGTAAGAAATTATGCTCTAGGGGTGATGACCATGCTGCAATCCCTTTTCCTCCATTCTCCTATTTTGAGTATGCCCATGTCCCTGGTGTGAGTTTCAAGTCACTGGGTCCAGGACTCAAACCATGGCCAGCTGCTGACCCCAAACCTAGCTAATTCTTTTTTTTTTTTTTTTTTTTTTAAAGAA